AATAAAGACACGCTGTGGTAACACTTGACTGATTGTTAGTTTTGTGGCACACTTTGGAAACATCTCTTTTTAACAAACATACAGTAAACTGCGATAAAAACGACCTCAAAGGGACCACTGATTTTAGTTCGATATATCCATAATTCGTTATAAGAATATTTACAGCATATATACATCAAATGGCTGGGACCAAAAATATGTTTGTTATATCCGACAGTTCATTATAAGCATGTTCATTTTAAATGTAGTTTACTGTACTTCTGCATAAGTTTTCTGCGGTTTGCGTTTCTTTTTGCCATGAGTATATTAAAGTTTGAACAAATTCTGAGAAGCGAATTTCCATTTCCTTATGTCTTACGATACAGGGAGTCTACTTATCTTCCTCCTTCCTGTGGCATTTTCATATACTGTATTCGTCGTACTAAGTGCCCAGGGCGCTTTCAAAATTAGAAATAGGGGGCCCTTATTAGAACAAAATTTGGGTGAAAAAACAAAACAGAGTTGAAAGATCATAAATTTCGTGGTTTTTGTTTGTATTATACACGACAGATATATTTTTCCAGAATTTAATTGCCCGTAATCGGAAGGGGTGCTAATTGGGATTGTTCATTAGCCAATATATTAGCAAATATCGGCTTTGGCGCTTATTAGAGCGGGGCGCTTATTACCCCGAATACGGTATATGACGCAGGTTTATTTACCATGTTTACATCCTTAATCATGACCCATTCAGAAAGTAAACTATTTCCTGAGAAAATTTCCACACACACACACACACACACGACGTTAAACCCCATTTCACCTCACCTCACACATATGTGTATATTGTGTTTGGCCAAATATCATATTTTTAAGGGCAGGCCGGTAGATTGTTTTGCCCAAGTCTGCTCCCCTGATAGGGTATAGGAGGTTAGACATGTTGAACTTCTCCACTGATGTATACAAAAATGTTGGACATTATAAACATACTCCAATGAGTTCTAAGATGTTTGACACCAGTGGAGGATGTAGATCACTGCTACTAGCAGTTGTTGGGTAGTCTAGTGGTTAAAATGTTTGCCTATCACGTCGAAGACCCAGGTTCAGTTCCCTGAGTGGGTAAAACCCATATTTGGTGATATTGCTAGAATATTGCTAAAAGTGGTGTGAAGACTCACTCACTCACTCACTCACTCACTCACTCACTCACTCACTGGCATCATCATCATGTCATTCTAAGTCAAGGGGATCATGTTTTTAAAGAATATTATTTGTGGTAGATAATACAGAATTTGGTCTGACAAGCTGATGTTCTTAACCACAGAATTTCATAAAATGTTTGTATTTCAATATATTCCCTCGTTATATAGCTCTGATAAGCTCTATCTGGAGAACAATGTGGTATATCCTTGAACTGTTTTATAGGGTGTAAAAAATGTTTTATATCATGACCCCCAATACTTTATTCAAAAAGTTTCTGTGAAAAAAAATGTCCTTTTTTGAAGCTCTTTGTGACATGTTAAATGAACCTTAGTGTTAACTAGAGCAAAGAAATTGAAATGTGACCTCAATGACAGGTGACCTTGTTTCTTGGAAGTTTGTTCCGGAAATCTTTCCTGAAATCAGGACAGTTTTGTTTTGTTCATTCTAGCTTTACAAAATATTGCAGTGTTTGAAAGCACTATAATGATACTTTTGCAATACAGTAGAACACGGATATAACGAACTACTAGGGACCAGAGAAATCAGTTCGTTATATCCGTTGTTCGTTATACACGTTTTCGCTCGGAAACGTCCGCCATCTTGGATAAGACAAAACACAATACACACGTAACTGCAGCATTGATTTGTATTAGCAGTGATCATTCAACTGATATCAATTTACAACATTCATTTAATAACATTAAATTCATAACATTTTCTGAAGATTGTTATCAAATACATGTACAAAATTTAAACATATTTATCATTTTTCGATTTACATACGAGATGTGTAGTCTGTGATTTTACTTTGGCCTCGTTTCGCTGACTGCATTCTTGAAACAGCATCGTTCAGATCCGCCAAACTGTCAAAAACTGTTTGTTTTACAGACAAGATTACATGTACAGGTAAGATTAACACAATGCAAATTTAACAAGGTTGATCCGTCACCACTGATTGTATTGATTCGCCGCCATTGTTTTGATTCGCCGCTGATTGCATACAGCCAATTGTCAGTGACACTTGACACTGAGTGAGATTTCTCAGTTCGCTATACACGTCGCTAATAAGTGATAAATGGGCTTGTCGATGATCAGGTATCAGTTCGCTGTATCCGTTAGTTCGCTATAGAGAGTTCGTTATATACGTAAATTTTATATGATATTATATAGGAGATAAATCGGGGATTTTTTAACAGTTCGTTGTATCCGTTTGTTCGCTATATCCGTGTTCGTTATATACGTGTTCTACTGTAATTGTTAGGTTAGAAATGAAATTTTATTCACTCTAGTCCTAAAAAATGATCTGCCATCTACCTAATGTTTGTCTGTTTGTTTGTTTGTTGTTTAACGCCACACTCAGCAATATTCCAGCTGTATGATGGCGGTCTCTAAATAATCGAGTCTGGGCAAGACAATCCAGTTATTGACATCATGAGCATCGATCCACACAATTGGGAGCCTGACCACCCGATACCGTTAGTTGCTTCTTACAACAAGCATAGTTCTCTTTTATGGCAGGCATGGGTCGCTGAAGACCTATTCTACCCCGGATCTTCACGGGTCCCATCTACCTAATCATAAAAGTGGTTGTCAACTCGGAAATGTCACTTGTCCTCCCTGAATTTGTGTTAATGTCGAACTTATTTCAAATGATGTAATAGCAGTACTTGATATGACTGTCTCTGGGGTCTAGTGGTAGAGCGTTCGCCCGGAGAGCGGAAGGTTGGCGTTTCAATCTCTCGCAACGTCAATCGAAAAGACGTTAAAAGATGGTACTTGTTGCTACCCTACATTGCGTTCGGCCTAAAGGGGCAAAAACAAGGACTGGTCGGCTCGGAGTCTGTATACTGTATCTGAGTAGGATATTCATGTTAAACTGTGGCATGGTATCTCAGTGGTCCAGCACTATAAACCGGCTTTAGTCCGGACTAGTACAAGCATACAGACACACACATGCTTACATGTTGCTATATAAGTGCAATAATCTATTTCACCTCACCTCATCTTTCATCACCATAATCACATCTTCCTAAACCATTGTTATTCAGGCGAAGTATCAAAATAATACTTTATTAGTGCCAGGCAATTATAGAATCAAATTTACTGGCAGAAAAACCATTGTTTCTTTTTTTCTAAATCATCCAATTACAATAACAACCAGAGACTAAAAATGTTAGTTTATATCTCTGGTTCTTATAGTAATGCAAGGATTTAGAATATATATAGCTGGAATATTGCTTAGTGTAGAGTTAAACAACAACAAACAAACAAACAAACAAAACCTTATAATGATAACATATACCCAAACCCTTAAAAGGGCAAATTTCTACTAGTCCTAATGATGCCTTTAACTATGGGTTAGTTTGGAAAGGACTATGGGACTGGTACCAATTTCTATCGCTGAGAACTAAAATATTTTTACTTTCACCACAGTTATATTTGTACCACAGACTAAGTAAGACTGCAGCCGAAAATAGGAAGCTGATTGAAGGTGATCGATGGATCAAGATACGAATGGCTTATCCAGTAACATCTGGGCTCTCTCTGAGTTCCTATAGGCTGAAAATGGCATAAAAGGTGGCCATGTTAATAGCTGGATCACTGGTTATTGTCAAGTTTATTGGATACTGGCTGGTTAATGTTCATTTCAAACTTTCATGTCTAATGCGTGATATGTGCCACGGCTGGCTCCACCATGAATAGAAAGACCTCTCTAACTGCTGTTGGTGTGCTAGGTCAACTTGTGATATCAGTCACTCTGGAACAGATGAAGCGATCTCAGTGATTCAGTACACGATATTTAATGTTTATTTATTCAAGCATATATTTTTACTAAATGTGTATTTTCTTTTTTTTCCGGCTCATTTGGACAGCGTATAATGTGGAATTGATTTGGTTTATAATATCAAGTCCAAATTTTCAGTCTGCTCTGGAATTTAATATTTGTTTGTTGTTTAATGCTGCAATCAGCAGTTATCCAGCTATATGATGGCAGTCTGTAAATAATCGAGTCTGGACCAGACAATTCAATGATTGACATCATGAGCATCGATCCATGCAATTGGGTACGATGACATGTATCAAATCAAGTCAGCGAGTCAGACCACCTGATCCTGTTTGTCGCCTCTTCTGACAAGCATAGTCGCCTTTTACAGCAATCATGGGTTGCTTAAAACCAATTCTGCCCCGGATCTTCACAGGTATGATATTTAGTTAGAGAAAATGTTTGTGTTGAAATCATCAAATTTAGTTTTCCATATTTATTCATAGAGATTTCATAAGTATTGGTCTGTCACTATTTTGTTACCAGAGTATTGTTATACACGTTAATGTGATGGGCCCTTTGAAGATGGTGGTTAGAATTGGTCTTTAGCAACCCATGCTTATCATAAGAGGCCAATTACGGAATTGGGTATGTCAGTTTGTCAGGCTCGCTTACTAGGTTGATGCATGTCATCGTATCCCAATAGCATAGATCGATGCTCATGATATCAATCACTGTATTGTGTGGCCCAGGCTTGATTATTTACAGACCCTTGTCATAAAGCTGGAATATTGCTGAATGCGGCATTAAACAACAAACAAACAAACACTATATCATGTATTGCAACATTTGTGATGCACTGATGGCTGTCACCGAGTTATTTTTAGCAATGCAGTGTCAACCACCAGTGGGAGGATTAATAGCTCTATTTTCAGATGTTACAAGAAGGAGAACAATCACACTCCTCCAGGATCCACATTCTGACTCGTCTTTGGTACTACTTGCCATACCACTATCATGAGAGAGGAACTATATTATTTCATTTCATTTTCAGGTACTGCAAAATTTGGGTCGTGCAGAACGAACACATGATGAGACTTTTGATGAGTATGTAACCAGAGTTGAGAGGCAACAGGTAAGAATCACTGTGACGGGTGATTTTAGTGAAACTTGGGTAGACAGATTCTGAAACAAAGTAATACATTTTTATTTTGTCAACTTTTTATTTTCAATCAGTCATATGATGCAGGTTCATTAAGAAGAACATAACATTGTATATTTGAACATTATTTATTCAGAAATGTATTATTTCTTGTATTATATGGTGACAAAGTAGACACAATATATGGGTAACAACTACTATTACAACAACGTTTGGGTATAGATCCTTTTACCATTGTCAAGCAAGACTATTATAAGGTGTTTTTTCATTTTCTGTGTTCAGACAGAGATTTGAATTATTTTCTACACTATTTTCCTCAAAACTAATTGAAATCAATTCAAGGTTGCTAAGATGGTATGTTGTGTAGGGTCTCAAGATGTGTGTCAGTGCCTCACATATAAAGCATATCCTTGTGTGTGGATACATCCTGTTGTTCCTTTGTGTGTAGAGATTAGTAGTACTGTCCATGTGATCAGAAAGGGCTGTAATAAATGTTCCTAAATATTTCAATAATATTAGTTGTCGCCTTTCAGATATGTCTTGCTGTAATGTTTATTGGTCTTATGTGGTGACAGTTATCCTGACACGATAAGGATTCAGGAAAACAGTTTTCTCTTGTCATTTATTGATTCAAAGACGTATATACGTCCATGATTGATTGTTATTTGATTTTAAAACAATGTAATCAGTTGTCTGGAAGGAAGTATGCATTTTCAAAAATATGTTATTTTTTTATTTTGAAAAAAAATGAAACATTTAAGAAATTAATGTCTTTTGAAGGGTTAATCTATTATGTTGCCCAGATCTGCAGATAAGCTGCATATTTACATAAAAGAGGCAAAATATCACCATTACAGTATTAAGTGTTCGTGTACAAGTGAAACATGTCAAACCTCAATAGTATAACACATACTGTATGTAATTACCCAATGCACTTGTCAATTGTGTACCTGTATTTCTTTACTGATCAAATACATTGTATTTTATGCAATATAGGTTTTTTGCCGATATAGCAGTAGCAGAATGCATATTTGCTTTACCATGTTTACTGTTATGTCATGAAAAATGTAATGTTTATTAAAGTTAGGGTGTGTCTACATGGTAATATTGCTCTGTCCCCAGTCTATCAACCCATTTTCTCATTGTAAACTCTTACTATTTTGACATTGTAGAGAGTCGCTATAAGTGCAATAATCTTGGATGTGACGTTAAACCCCATTTCACCTCATTTCACATTGTAAAGGACCCATGAAGATCGGGGGTAGAATAGGTCTTCAGCAACCCATGCTTGCGGTAAAAGGCGACTATGCTTGTCGTAGGAGGCGACTAACGGGATCGGATGGTCAGACTCGCTGACTTGGTTGATGCATGCCATCGTATCCCAATTGCGTGGATTGATGCTCATGACATCAATCACTGGATTGTCTGGTCCAGACTCGATTATTGACAGACTGCCGTCATATAGCTGTAATATTGCTGAGTGCGGCGTTAAACAGCAAACAAACAAACAAAATCACATTGTAGAGATATGGTGTGGAGATCTTGCATGGATTTAGATGATCCGGTTTAAGCATGGCTATTATATTGATGCTGTTCGAATTTTCAACTGAGAAATACAAAAATGGTACAAATAGTTCTCAAGCCAAATGTTTATAAGCGGTATGCAAGAAGTAGTTTTGGGGACATAATTTTAATTTTGTTTTGACACGTTTCCTAAGCAATGCTAAGGTTCATATGTTTTTGTTTCAGGAAGTTGCCCATAGGATACAAAAGGAACTAAAAAATTATTTACATTGTGTGAGAGGTGAGTTGAAATACTACATTGTCATATGATACCGCTTCTACGTAATAAGCGCCCACGGTGATATTTTCTAATATATTTGCTAGTGAACAATCCCAATTAGCATCCTTCCGATCGATCAATGTACAAAAGACAATTATCATTAATGTACAAAAGACAATGTACAAAAGACAATTATCATTGTAACCAGTCGTTGGTCTGAATCTGATGATCAACAGACCACCGTGATATAACTGCAATATTGCTGTATGTGGCATACAACAATCACAGTTTTGTAAATGCAGAAGTAAACATGATGAAGAGACAATGTTTTTAACATGTTTAAAACCTATAACAAAATTGGCCAAGGAGGTTTTCCAAATAGTTATTCGTGGTCCCGTGGTAGAGCGTCCGCCTGGAGAGCGGAAGGTCCGTGGTTCGATCCCCGGCCGCGTCATACCAAAAGACGTTAAAAGATGGTACTTGTTGTTACCCTGTCTGGCGCTCGGCATTAAGGGGTTAAAACAAGGACTGGTCGGCTCGGAGTCAGTATACTGTGTCTGAGTGGGGTATTCATGTTAAACTGCGGCATGGTATCTCAGTGAGCTAGCACTATAAATCGGCATCAGTCCGGACTAGTACAAGCAGCCACACACACACACACGTTCATGCACGTCGCTATATAAGTGCAAAAATCTTGGACGCGACGTTAAAACCAATTTCACCTCACCTCACCAAATAGTTATTTGCCATGTTCAAATCATCACCCATGTTTGGACACTGTAACAACAAGATATTCAATCATTTATCCTTGTCAAGCCATCAGAGACACTTCATCATGATGATGAAAGATGACTGAGACTCGTCAGACGAGTTGTGTCACTTACATGAATGCCTTTTGTATGTGGAGATAATTCCTGTCTATCAATAGAGCCAGTTAGAATCTATATAATTCCTGCGATTATCCTACCACTTGTGCATCGCTACCATAAATTCTTTATTTTAGCTGTCATGACACGATAAAAATCTTCAGATTTTCAACAGAAGTCTTCTTCACTGTTAACTTTTTCCATAAACAGCTGTACAGGAAATAGTATATGGATTATCAGTGGTGTTTGTATAAAAATAATCTGTGATTGTCTGTTACATGAGAAGTTTAAGAGTTTTTAATACCATTCATTAACTTAAGGATTTATCTAGACCTGCCCAAAGGCCAATATTCAGCCAAAGTCAGTACATTGTACAGTACAGTAATGCACCAATGAGAACCAGTGTTATGGCTTTGTAGATGTGACTTTGATTCCACTGATACCAGACCAATAAAGAGGAAAAAATGGCTTTTGTGCATAATTTTACACTTTAGCTTTGAATGAAATGTTAAAATGTCTCCCAATTTGGGAAAATAAGAACTTAAACAAAAAGATATGAGTTTTTCCAGTTTTTCTGCCAAGGGCACTTTGTGTGAAATTCTAGATAAATCCCTGACAATATTTCATCTCTATCTTAGGAAGGACATCAACAGTCTTCGATATTCATGCTAGTCCACTAGCCCGAGACTACTAAATTGTGCTGAGGACAAGTACATATCCAATGATGGTGGTCCTCATTGACTAGCAAATATTTAAGGACTATAATTCAGAAACAGCTCTCAATGCTTCAATTTTTCTCTAAATGGGAACTGAATAAAACAGACAGAAAACGTAAACGTAAACATAGTAGTAAGGGGAAGCAGATTAAATTATTTATGTCTGTGGCTCAAGGAAGCGGGTTGTCGTTGTCGGCATTGTCCATTAGGTCTTCACATTACTTTCATCAGTTATCATAACATGAGGCATCCCGCTATCCTATTGTGGTAGCGTTCCAAAACCCCATGTCAGGTAACTGGATACCCTAGTTACGAGATGATCAGAGCATTACAATGTCCGCCATGTGGAGGTACTTAAATATGGCTGAGCCTCCTGCCCAAAAAATACAAACAGTCCGAGGAGGAAATAAAATCGAATTAAGACTTTGTAGCTTGTTTATTGAATGCTCACATTCTTCCCCAAAATTGCATCCGTCTGCATATCATTGCAACAAAAAGTGTTCAGTGTATTTCTGGCTCTAAGATTTTAACCCATGTTTAACAAACTCTGATTACCGCTTTGTCAGCATGATGGGGTGTTTTATATTTGCGATCACTGATAGGTTGATCTCCAACAATGACTCATCTGTCTAACCAGGATATCCTGAGCACTGCCAAGGATTATTTTGAAGTTTTTGTTATTAATTGTTATTGTTAATTCACCAACTTAAATAACATGTGAGAATGTTTTAATTTTGATTAAACAGTAGTTTCATTTTTGTGCTGTGATTATTTTGTTTATTTATCCATTTTTTTCTCGATCAACCAGGACTAGCTATAATCTCTGAGGAATAGTCGAATAAGGTTTCAATAAGGGTTGGGACAAGTCCAAATATACTACCCGGGTATCCTCCCCTCTGTTACCCAACCCTACCCGGGTACCCGCTGTAGATAGGTTCAAAATGTCTGTTTGGGAATAGTTTGACTGTATCCCTGGCATAATGTATCTAGACACATGCATAAAACAACTTGGTCATGCATACACTGAAGTTGACTGAAGTTTTATCTTTATTCAAACATATAAAAGTCAGAAGGAATGTGTGCATAGTCAGAAAACAATGTAAACATTAGTGACTTGTGTAGCCACAGAGTTCTAGATAATTCAAAAATATATCATGTGTCTAACCACGGGTCCGGGTACTCCTGTGGGTACCAAGGTCCTTCTCAGTACCCATCCAACCCGTGAAGATTCCGGGGTAGAATAGGTCTTCAGCAACCCATGCTTGCCGTAAAAGGCGACTATGCTTGTCGTAAAAGGCGACTAACGGGAGCGGGTGGTCAGGCTCGCTGACTTGGTTGATGCATGTCATCGATCCCAATTGCGTGGATCGGTGCTCATGACATCAATCACTGGATTGTCTGGTTCAGACTCGATTATTTACAGACCGCCGTCATATAGCTGGAATATTGCTGAGTGCGGCGTTAAACAACAAACCAACAACAAACAAACCAGTACCCATCCAACCATAGAACACAAGTTACCTGTCCCAGCCCTGGGTTTCATTAGTGCTCTGGACTAGCCTTATACAAATCAAATACAAAACAAAATCCTGACAAACCACACACATGAAAATGAGGCTCTTACACAGGAGGAGCGGTCGGGTAGCCTGGTGGTTAAAGCGTTTGCTCATCACGCCGAAGACCCGGGTTCGATTCCCGACATGGGTACAATGTGTGAAGCCCATTTCTGGTGTCCCCCGCCGTGATATTGCTGGAATATTGCTAAAAGCGGCATAAAACCATACTCACTCACGCACTCACTCTTACACAGGAAATCCGTATTCCTGACTTTGTTTCACTCTTTGTGGGTAGGGGCGGTGGGATAGCCTAGTGGTTAAAGTGTTTGATTGTCATGCCGAAGTGGGTTTGATTTCCCACATGGGTACGATATGTAAAGCCCATTTCTGGTGTCCCTCGCCTTGATTGCTTGAATATTGCTAAAAGTGGTGTAAAATAATACTCACTCATTTTGTGGTATTCCAGGTTAGAATATGCTTATCATAAGATAACTGGATGGACTGATGTTGCTCATGGTATTGATTACTAGTTTGTCTGGTCCACAATTAAGTATTTACAGGTGGCCATCATATAGCAGGAATATTGCTGAAATCTTTACTAAGCAGGGGCGGTCGGGTAGCCTAGTGGTTAAAGCGTTCGCTCGTCACGCCGAAGACCCGGGTTCGATTCCCGACATGGGTACAATGTGTGAAGCCCATTTCTGGTGTCCCCGGCCGTGATATTGCTGGAATATTGCTAAAAGCGGCGTAAAACCATACTCACTCACTTTACTAAGCAACAAACATATCTGCATAACTATCGTTTATTTGATAAATATAGGTTAGAGCACGAGGACCTGGTGTCTAAGCGTTGAAATGGCTAGTTAGAATCCAATTTCAACGACTGGACACCATGGTCCAAGTTTTTCATTAAATTGTTCTGTCATCAAGGTAAATAATAGGGAAAAAGGAAGTTCCGCCATTGCCAAGTTGTGTGTAACTCACAAGCAGGGTAAAAAACAAAGGAGCCATGGTTTTACCTCTGTTAATCTATTAGGTCACCCATATTGATCTTCAAAAACTGAAACAAAACTTCAACCGAAAGTCTTTAAGAGTTAACTGCCCAACTTTTAAGTAACAGTACCCAGAACGGGAAGATGTGTGTACCAATGTGTTCCATCATTGTACATGTTTGTTGAACATGTTGAACAGGAGTTAGATGTTTTTCAACATATTTCCTGGACACATGTAAATCAACATTTCAGTTGCCTAATATTTGAATCCTCTTGCCAACACGTCATTATTTGTTGTCCTTTACACCTTTGGTCTCATTCCTGACATAAACAGACAGACATGACTAGGTTCTGGCAAAGTGTTGTGTAAGTCAGCTGGAGAGTATATATACTCAACGACAAAAGAAACACGAATACCATACGTTTGTTTGTTGTTTAAATCTGCGCTCTGCAGTATTCCAGCTATATAACAGCGGTCTGTAAGTAATCGAGTCTGCACCAGACAATCCAGTGATTGACATCATGAGCACTGATCCACACAATTGGGATATGATGATATGCTTCAACCAAGTCAGTGAGCCTGACCACCCAATGTCGTGTCTTACGAGAAGAATAGTCATCTCTTACGGAAAGCATGGGTTGCTGAAGACCTTTTCAAAACTGAATCTTCACAGGTCTCATGTTGGTTAATATATGAAGAATTTCTCATATTCAAGAGATATTAGATTCGTTAGATGTACAAATGAACATGCTGTTAAGTTGTGTGAATCAATGCATCACATGTGACGTCCTAGACCCAAGACTCGAGATGCACCATTTGTCTCATGCAGGATAAATGTGTAAAGTTTGGAAATCACACGCAGCATATCGTGATAAGAATAAAGACACAAT